CGCGGTGCCCCCCCCGCCCCCCCCCCCCCCCGCCGCTGCTCCCAGTGCTGCGCTCTGGCCAGCGGCTGCTGGCGCTCCGCCCCTTCCTGTCTGCTTCTAGTGGTATTTACCATTTATAGCTTAACCAGTGGTAGGTCCAGAACAGGCTGTGTTATATAACGTGCGCCAACAGCCATGCAGATATTATTTGCACTTTAAAATGGAAAAGCTTAATGAGATTACATAATTTGCTGTAGCGTACCCAGTTAGTAAGAGCCAGAACTGCGTTAAAACTCTGGTTTGTCTGCTGTGAGATCTGGGATGTTAGCCAGGAATCTTACTGTCCTTTGAGTTCATAACAGTAATAAGGCAAGATAAACTCTTTACATAAGCCTATACGTGCGCGGTCTCTTGGTTTTCTAGAGTACAGAAGGTTTCCATAACGTTAAGTGTAAAGGATCACAAGTTTAGGCTATGGAGTTTCCTATGTTTTAGGATATTTAAATTGCAAATGACAAACCACACTATGTAAACAGGAAAAGGGTATATACATATACCTTTAAAAAAAAATTTCAGGGCAGGGGCCGGCAGGTGGCATGCAGGTTAAAGGCACTGGATTCTCACATGGCCAATGATGGTTCCAGTCCTGGACCTGGCAGCCTGCTTTCTCACTTTCCCATGCTCTCTCTCTGGTCAAATTAACAATAGCAATAACAAATAGAATCAAATCTTTAAAAAAATGTTTTAGGACTTACATACAAAATTGTATTTCTACCTATGTAAGCCAAAACAAATTCAGATTAAATATGGACACTTAAGTCATTTTTGCATAGAAATGTACCTTTGGCTAGGACTTAGCTTGAAACAATACAGCTATTTATTTCTAAACCTTTAATACCTTTCAAAGGTTGTATTTCCTGTAGCATGGATACTCTTTCTATTTATGGTGTGGACTTTTTTTTTTACCTTCACTAACCTCCCATTTTAACTGGAAAGTACTGAATTTTTTGAAAGACACAAACTCCACACTTCATTGATTGTTCAGATGTATTATTTGTGATCATAATCTTTAGGTTGCAGTCTAGTTCTGAAAAGCATTGTTCAAGTATGCCACACCTTATCCTGCAGTGCATATCTGTGGTAGCTATTTGAAGCACAATTACTATATCCTAAAGTACTTCTGTTTTTGTATATCCTGTTGATAATAATGAGTACGACAAATAACATGCCAGTGAAATTTGTAAAATTTAATGGTATGTGCCCAGCTTTCTTCTTTTGCTGCTTTGCTGTCTCAATAGGACCCTCACAAATAGAGAGCAATTAGGAGAACTGGTAACTTATGTAAACATTTTTTAAATGACTAATTTTAAAATAATTATTTATCATTACTATTTTAAAAATTTGACCAGAGAGAGATGGAGAGGGAAGGAAAGTGAGACAGCAAGCCACCAGGTCTACGACTTAAACTGTGGTCAGCCACATGGGAGTTCAATGCCTTAACCACTGTACCACCTGCTGAAAACTTCTAAAATACTGGTATAGACACTGAAAAGTGGTGTAAGATGAATGACAATCAAATCTGAAAACTAGGAAATACATAGTTTCAGGTCACAACTGCAGTTTCAGTTTGCTCTCAATATGGAAAGAATAATACAAAGCACTGTTCAGGGTCACAGATGTCATTAAGTCCTTGGAGCTTCTATTTCCATCTGTATAAAACTGTGGACTCTCTTTTACTCCTTTGTACCACCCCTCCATCCTCACCATCTCCAGCCTGCTTTATCTTGGGGTAACTCATAAAAATCCCATCTTTACCTGGAACCCACTGGGATAGTAGCAGCAATCCACTGGTAAACATGGCCAGATTTAGATCCTATGCCAGTGGGAAGGTAATAGGCAAAGAAGGCCAGTCATAAAGCTCAATATACAGGGCTGCAGTTGGTGTAATAGCTATGTCGTAGGACACCCATGTAGTCAACCACAGTTAGAGTCCAGGACCTGGTGGCTTAAATTCACATTGAACGCATGTGTGTGTGTGCCCAAGATCTTGACAGCACAATGGAGAAGGGAGTGTGGTGTAGCCATCCTCCCTTGGGAGTGATTTCTCGCTTTCTTTCTCACGAGTGCACGCACCTTATAGCAAAAACCTCTCAAAAACTCAAAAAAAAAAAAAAAAAAAATGTTTGGAAATAATGTACAATTTTGAAACAGTTTCAGGGCACTTGGGACAGCCATGGCTTCTTCATGTAAACCACTGCCAATTTTTAGAGTTCTTTTGAGAGATGACAACATGCTTGTGATAAAATTTTGTAATTAAACATAATGAGAGCAAGATATACCTCCAATAAGAGGTGTGATGACTCACTAAGCTAAGGTAGTCATAAGGAGAGATCAGTTTTTTAATTCATACTCTCCTCATCTCCCTCTTCCTCCCTTTTCCAGGCAATTTTAGCAGAGCTCTGCGCCATCAAACTTGCCTTTAGCCTTACAGTCGGCAACATCCTTCTCATACTCCTCCTTCAGTTTTGTGACCTTAGTGATGTAAGGCTGCTTCTTGCTGTCGCTGAAGTTGTTCTACACCTCACCTAGCTTCTTTGCCATGTCTCTAATAGAAATACCAGGGTTGGTGGATTTGATCTTGGGGCGAAATTCTGGACAGAACAGGAGGATTCTAGATGGTATTAGGTCCTTTTTCATCTTGTCTCCCTTAGCTGGTATAATCCTTCATTTCCTGATCACAGAGTACTTTATCTGCCTTGGCATTTCAGTGGATTGTGACTTCTCTTTCCCAAACATTGTCTTCCACCTCTTGGAGCACTTCTTAGAAAAGAGTATCAATTGACAGAGACCTCCGGGTTTTTCTTATGGTCTTCTCTGCAGATCTGCATAAAGATATAAATAGACATCTTCCTCTTAGTTTCTTGGCATCACATTTAGCCGTCCTGATGGTCTTGTTCTCTAGTCTGGGTAGCACAGGGCACGATGTACAGCTTAGTGCTCCCCAGCCTCTCACTAGCTGCCTCCATGACGGCCACCTCCAGATCCTACTCTTTTGTGAGTTTTTTGCTATAGGGCATGTGCACTTACTGGAGAGAGAGAGAGAGACATTGAGAAATCACCTCCAAGGGGGATGGCCATGCCATAGTCCTTTTCCATTCTCCTCTTGGGATTTTGGGCACGCAAACATTTTAGGGTTTACATGGGTTGCAATATGATTTTGTGTGTATGTTCATGGAAAAAAAAAGGTGTATGTACTTATCTCTAGGTCTGCATAGTACTGTATTACCAAGTTCTCAGTATCTTTTGTTTTGAATTTACCAATACAAGCACTCGCTTATATAAGAAATGCACTGTAATATAAATGTAAGAATGCACTGTAATGCAATGTACTGTAAATGTAAGAAATTTCCTGTTTTATATCTCTTTTTTTTTGAGAGGTTTTTGCTATAGGGCACGTATGCTCGCCAGACAGACAGAGAGAGACAGAGAGACAGAAAGTGAGAAATCACCCCCCAGGGGGGATGGCCATGCTGCAGTCCCTTCTCTTCCATTCTCCTCTCGGGATCTTGGGCACACATGCACACGCGCCCGGTGTGAGTTTTAAGCCACCGGGTCCAGGAAGCGAACCGCGGTCAACTATGTGGGAGTCCAGCGACATAGCCATTATGCTAACTGCTGATTCCCATCTGGTTGCTTTTGATAAACTTATACAATAGAGTAACCACCACAATCAAGTATAGAACAATTTCATCATCCGAAAACTTTTCTTGATCCTTTTTCAGTGCTTTTTAGCTCAGGCCTTGATCATCACTGATCTGTTTTCTATCACTACATTTTTCTCTTTCTAGAATACTATACAAATGACATCTTTTTTTTTTTTTGGAGAGGTTTTTGCTATAGGGCGCGTGCGCTCGCCAGACAGAGAGAGAGAGACATGGAGACAGAAAGCGAGAAATCACCCCCCGGGGCGGTAGTCACGCCGCAATCCCTTCTCCTCCATTCTCCTCTCGGGATCTTGGGCACGCATACACACGCGCCCAGCGTGAGTTTTAAGCCACCGGGTCCGGGATGTGAACCGCGGTCGACTACATGGGAGTCCAGCGACACAGCCATTACGCTGACAGCTGGTTCCCACAAATGACATCTTATGTTTTTGTCTGTTTTCTTCCACTTAGCAAAATACTTTTTAGATTCACCTATGTTGTTCTATATAAGTTTTTTTTCATTGTTGTGTAGTATTTACTTGTATAGATGTTTTCATTCTTTTTTTTTAATTTTTTATTTTTTTTGTGCCAGTAAAAATGTAATAAAATAGAATCTGTATAAAAATTATTTCTTGTGGGACCAGCAGATAGCATGTAGGTTAAGGTTATGGATTCCACATAGCCAACTGCATGGTTGGAGTCCCAGGCCCAGTGGCTTTTGGGGGGTCCTTGGTGTGTATGTGTGTGTGTGTGTGTGTGTGTGTGTGTGTGTGTGTACCCAAAATTTCAAGGAGACTAGAGGAGAGAGAATTATGGCATGGTTATCTCCCCTTTAGGGTGATGTCTCTCTTTCCTTCTCTGTCTTTTTCTGTCTCTCTACAGCTAGCACAGGTACCCTATAG